TAACTTACACAATAGGGGCGAGTATGACCAGGTTGCTTGCACTTGGAGCAACTGTATTGCTTATGCATCTTTCTTGGTCTTGTGCCTTTTTTCCTAGACATTTCTAGCCAAGTTTGCCATCTAGATTTTTTCTTTCTTCCAGGAGGAATCTTTATGACTGGAACACCACATGGTTCCTTCTTGACATCATTTTCATCAGAAATAGGCGGGTTAATGGGATGGGAGTATGCCGCATATAAGGATTCCCGTGAGTAAGATGGACACACAAAAGTTGACAGATTCACGTTGGCATCTTCTACCGCTGCAATAACATGTGAGCAAGGGATTTTTTCAACATCATACACACCACAAGAACACTTCCTTTGTTGCAAATCAACAATACAATCTCGTGCTCCACCCTTAACAAAGAAACGCCAGCCATCAATGGGTTCTGCCTTCAAATCTCCTGCCTCATATTCTCGAATTGCCAATAGATACTCTACTCCACGGGTATGGCTCGTTGTGAGACTTAGAGCATCTTCACGCCTTTTATGATACCATCTCCCGAGCTTTGTTCTTATAAACTCTAACAGAAATGTGATGGGAAACCCTTTGGCTTCCTAAACAGCCGCATTGATCGATTCTGCGATGTTGCTAGTCTTTATGTTGTACCTGTCTCCCGGGAAATGGACTCGTGACCATAACCTCGGGTCCGCAGTCTCCAAATATTGAGCAAGTCTGGGGTTTACCTCTCGGATTGCGTCCATGTATCGATTATAATCGTAAGTCGTATGTGCATATGCAGCACCTTTCACCAAGTACATGAGTTGCTTCCCGTGAAACTTAGTCACAATGTTTTGCTGCAGATGATAGTAACATATACCTCGTGTTGCCCATGGTATGACATTCTTAAATGCATCAGCTATGGAGTCGTGCCGGTCAAAAACTAGGACAAGCGGATACCCATCTGAGAAACATCTACTCAATTTGGTGAAAAACCAATTCCATGAATCATTACACTCAGAATCCACAATTCCAAAAGCCAAAGGAAATATCTGAAAGTTACCATCCTGTGCGGCTGCCACTAGCAAAACACCTCCATACTTCCCACTTAGATGAGTCCCATCTACAACAATCACTCGCCTCAAGTACTTAAAACCAGCTATGGAAGCTCCAAATGAAATAAACAGGTACTTAAATCGATCCATCTCATCGCATACAAGGTCTGTGACACTTCCCGGATTAGCTCTCTCAATTTGACGCAAATAAGAAGGCAGCTTCTCATATCCATCTTCTGCTGTTCCTCTCACCAATTGTTGGGCATATATCAAAGCTCTATAAGATGTGGTGTAACTGAGGTTTAGACCAAACATCACCTTCATAGAATCTCTGATATGCTTTGGCACAATTCCATCGATTATGCCAACTCGTTCCACAAACAGAGCCCCAATGTACTTAGGTGTACAACGTCTACGATGAGCTGACCGGTCTATCACAGAACAAGTATGATCTTTCAGATACTTTATCACCCAGAATGTGTTTGCTTCGTTCTTCACACCCGCTCTAACCATCCAAACGCATCCTTTGACTGAACATTTTGCTACAAACAAAGACGTTGTAGACTTATATACTTTGAAAGCAAATCTCTTCATAACTGCCATCAATCGCAACTCAGATACAAGCTTCTCTTTGCTAGGAAAACTCTGATTAACAAAGATTTTAGACGACCAACTACTATCCAGTCGATCAAAACCACCACAACGCTCTCTTACACCCTCAACTTCATCTTCATCTTTAACTTTCCCGTACTCACTGTAATCCACATCTGAGTCATCATAATTTTCTTTCATATTCTGATTAACTTCATCTTCATTCAAACTATCAGCTTCATCCTCATTTTTAACGTTTTCATCCCAATCTTCAGCGTCTTCATCCCAATCTTCTTCAGCATCAGAGCACGTATCCGCATGTCCATCCACATCATCATTCTCATGGTCCACTATCCTACTCGAAACACAAAGGCGAACACCATGCATCTTACTTAACTCAATCAAGCTCTGAACATGTCTATCATTTGTGACATACATAGGCGGAGAATCAGGAGGCATTTGTTGAAGCATCTGAGGTGGTAAGGGATAGGATAACTCCACCTTTGTTTCCTTTTCCAGCATATAATCCTCTTGCACCATTCCAAGAAGCTCAACATGTGTGCAACCATCTCTTAAGAACAACATCCGCCCTCTTTTGTTATTATCCACCTCGAACTGCCAAACTGATTCAGTCTTAACCCATTCTCAATAAACAGCGGGTATGTGAACCATTCTCTGTGAAAAAAAAAAACCAAATCCAAACCACATTAGACATCAATGTTGCATAAGTAGACTTCTCGGTAAGTCGAATGAAGTCTACTTAGTAGACTTCTATAGTAGACTAAGAAGTCTACTCTTAATAAGCTAAGTATCATATAAAACATGAAAACTCATTCGACTATACCTATAATATATAAACATGCAAAACTTATACATAAGCAAGAAAACTTAATAACAGAAGCTTAGGATCACGAAAATCATAAAAATTCGTTATATATTGTATATAAATGATTTTTTTTTTAAAACAAGAAAAGTAGACTTCTCGGATAAAAGTAGACTTCTCGCAGGTTAGTTTTGCAATTGCCAAAATATTAGTTGACTTCTCTATGAAAAGTAGACTTCTCGGAGAAGTCTACTTTCGTAAGTAGACTTCTCGCAGGTCATTTTTGCAATTGCAAAATATTTGACTTTTTGGTCAATTGCAAAAATGACCTGCGAGAAGTCTACTTTCTAAAGTAGACTTCTCCGAGAAGTCTACTTCAGTAAGTAGACTTCTCGGAGAAGTCTACTTTTCATAGAGAAGTCTACTCTGAAAAGTCAAAGGTTGGTCAATTGCAAAAATGACCTGCTTCTAAAGAAGTCTACTCGAGAAGTCTACTCCATTTTTTTTGTTATCAAAGGAAATGGAGTAGACTTCATTCGGACCAAAAGAAGTCTACTTTTTCATGCGGTCAATTGCAAAACTAACATGGGCGTTGACTAGTAGACTTCATTCGGACCGAGTGAAGTCTACTTTCGGAGCCCAGATCTGAAAAACACCAAAATTGACTGAAAATCCGACTTACCACTCGCCTTTAGCTTCTTTTCTGGTCAAGATCTTTGATCCTAGCCACAATGAAAGAAGCACAACCGCAACAAACAACCAAATCGCCGGAATATAGAAATTTTTATGAACTTCAACTTTTTAATAGACAAATTATAGAGTTTTTGGGAAGAAAATAGAGAGGAAATGGAAGAATAGAAGTTTAAAGGGAAAATAATGAGCTCAACAAACTCAAAAATGGGTTTTTGCCACCATTAAAGCTTCAAAATTGGTTGAAAATGTTAGTTGGGTGAATTGATGATGATGACATTTTCGTAAATAAGTGAGGAAGATGAAAATTAGTTGGTCAATTGAATTTCCGAAAATAAATAAAATTAATTAAAAACAATGGCAGTTTCGTGAATAACTGAAACTATGAGAGATTGTTTGGACACAAAATGGCAAATGTTGGGAAGGTGATTTTTGTGGGTTAGATTTGCAATTCAAATCAAATTTTAGGTCATTTTTGCAAGTATCCCTAATAAAAAAAAGGTAATTTTAATAGTAAACTATAAAACAAATGAAACTCATCTTCTAGATGAATATTATTATATAGTTCTTTTAGAACTTTACATATATGTTTTATGGGCAGTTTTATTTATACGATTATATATGTCTTTTTTTTATTACCCTACCAAAATCGTTTTAATTTTTTTTTTAATAATATGAACTTATCTATCTCATTCACTTTAAATGGACGTCTCAACATTCACTTCTACCAATGGAGCTGATCCAATGAGATTGATGGTTTATTATCATATGATTATGATATTCTTTAGCTACGCGGAGGATTCTCAACAATTCCAAATGCTTGGTGAATTTTTTCTCTTAGAGAATCAACCTTTTTTTGTTTTAAATCATTGCCTAAGATCTTAAAGATCTCTTTCTCTCATAATGTATCCATTTTACAAACCATAATAGATGTGGTGGCATAAAAAAATATGGCTTTTGTCTTATTCTTATTCGATATCGTTTTTGATTTATCAATAATGCTCAAGAGATCATTTTTTTAGATGCAGATTTGCATGTATCGCTTAAGCCAAATATGTCTTTTTTCATAGGTTAATAGCAGTTATCTTGAGCTTTGCAAAACTTGATATAATTATTGAATAATAGACATACAAATAAATTATATCTTTTTGGTATATAAAGGATTGAGAGACGATCATGCTGATATCGTGTTATGATATAATACACTATATAATGAATAATATATTAATGTAGAAATTAGTAAGATAAACTTAAAGAAAGAGAAGTGTGTAGAAATAGACAATAGCTTTTACTAAAAGAGTTTTTTGTTATTTACTTATGATTTGTACAATGTATTACATATTATCTATAAAAAATACATAACATTCTAAATATGATATCTAAGTGATGATTAATCAAATAATGTGATGACTAATGAACTAAGATGATAAGTATCAAGGACACATGTCACAAAAGATGAATGATCATATATTTTCTAACATATATGAAAATTTTTGTGTGTTTTTGTTGTTTTACAATTCTCTTGAACTACTTTTGTATCGTTATTATCTTCTCTACCGTTTCAACACTAATCGGAGTAATTTATTAGGACATCATCGCAATCTGCTGCTTAAAGAAATAAACGATTACCATTCTCCAAAAAAAGATATGAAAGAAATAAATAAATAAAAAGAAAATATAGCTTGTGAATAATAAGCAAATAGGGATGTGTGCCAGTGCTCTCAAAATCTCACTCTTTCCATTCTTATCGATCACGTCATCTCCTTTGTCTTCTACCTAACTCGCTGACGAAACCAAACCTCCCTCCTTAAAATCTCACATCTTCAACTTCTCTCTGAATCTCTCACTCCACAGCAAAAATGGCGACGACGCAGCTCAAATCCGACGCAATCATGGACATGATGAAGGAACATCTCTCCACCGACGCTGGCAAAGAAGTGACTAAGAAGATCGGTCTCGTCTATCAGATCAATATCGCTCCGAAGGTGAGACTGACTCCATCTTCTTCTTCTTTCTCTTCTTTGTCATCTCTGTTAACTTTGCCCTTTAAATTACAGAAATTAGGGTTTGAGGAAGTTACTTACATCGTCGATCTGAAGAAAGGCGAAGTCACCAAAGGTTAGCCCTTGTTAAATTATGGCAATTGGGAATTCGAATAAGAGAATCTGCGATTTTGAAGTGAGAATTTGTATGAGATTTGCTAAAGCAATTAATTGTTCTTTTGATGGTTTATCTCGGAAATGATCTAATTAGGAAAATATGAGGGGAAAGTGGATGCAACTTTTTCCTTCAAAGATGATGACTTTGTCAAAGTTGCTACTGGGAAGATGAATCCTCAGATTGCTTTCATTAGGTTTGTTCATTCCTCTGAATCTTTTTAATTTGTCGTTTCATAAGCAGTTTTTACACAACTTCTGTTTAGCGGTTTTATCTGGTGTCTGAACCAAAATCCAGTAGCAACAACAAAAAAACCTCAAGCTTCCTCCAAAGTTTTCTTTGATTACCTTGATGATACTGGAAACTCTGCTTTATTGATTCTTCTTCATAGGTTCCCTCTGTAGGTTATGAAATAGTTTTGGAATTAGTGGAGCTTTTTTGTTTTGTCTCAACCACAATACACCATTACCAACAACAAACACATGCTGCAAACTCTCATTTCTTATTTTTCTTGCTTTGAGTGAAGCCTACAAGCCTTCTTATGTGACTTTGATTTGGTTCAACAAGCTGATCTTTGTATCCTGTGATTGTTGAATGTTAGTGAAGTTTTGTTGTTTTGTCTCAACCACAATACACCGTTACTGACATCAAAAATATGCAGGAAACTCTGATTTCTTGATTGTTCTTGCTTTAAAAGAAGCCTACAGGCTTTTTTTGTGCGACTTTGATTTGGTTTCTGATCTCTGTGCCTTGTGAATGTTAAATGTTGACGCAGGGGTGCGATGAAGATCAAGGGTAGTCTGAGTGCTGCGCAGAAATTTACTCCAGACATTTTCCCAAAGCCCTCAAAGTTGTGAACACACAAAGAATGGTATTGCAAACCCTTAGACTCAGGCTCAATTCATGTCTTTCAAAGGGTTGGTTGTTTTAGTCACTAGAAAAACTCAGAAATAAAGTTCCTCAAGTATCTTTTTATCATTCTACTTTCTCTTTTTTAATCTTTGGAACAAATATTTGGTATTGGTTTTTAATAAAATGAATCTTTCTCATTGAAGATTGTTTATATCAACCAAAACCTTTATTTCCTTTCCTATAAGTAAAATCAACAAAACCATACATGGAAAAGTTATTTCCAGACTCATCTTAAGGGAGACTGTATTGTTGTTGTTGGTGTAATAAAGAAAAATCAAAACCAAATATTTTGAAGAAAACAAAAGGTATTAAACAATTCTCACTTGTGAGAGTGAGACTTCTTTCTTGACAAGAACATGAAAACCTTTGGGAACAAAGAAAGCTTCTTCTTCTTCTTCTTTGTTTCAGGTGTCACATTATTGCCTCCTCCAATGTTGCTGCTTCCGCTCCCTTGTTCACCAAATGCAAACGATTTCGACTGTCCATATCCGTTCTCCTTGTGTCTCCCCGCGGTGCCTGACCTCGCCGGGCTCTTCTCAGGCTCCCTACCTTCTTCTGTTCTCCTCTTCCCATTCTCCGACCTCCACTTTCTCAACTCTTGCTCCATATCCAACTTCCCATCTCTAGCCTTTTCGGCTTTTCCCATAGCCGCTTTTAGCTCTTCCTTTCGTACTCCCATCTCTCTATTCACTTCCTCTAGTTTCTCCAAGATTCTTGACTCTTCATCTTTAGCCACCTCTATTTGAGAAACAATCTGTGATAGCCTTGTGTTCGCCTCCTCCTCTGACTCCTGCGCCTTCTTGCTTAGCTCGTAGTATTCCTCTACAGAGATTATGATGTTTCTTGGTGAATCATTAATCTCTTCAAACCTCTGAGTACATTCAGTTTCTTGCAAAGCTTTAATAGCAGCCAATGCCAACTTCTCTGAAGCTCTAGCAGCTTCCATTTCCTTCTTGGCCTCGATTAATCTACTCTCTATCGTAGACATTCCGGTTTTCGCTTGCTCTGACAGTTCCTTCGCCATTCTAAGCTCGTCTCTAGCAGCTGCCGCGTAGAGCTTTGCTTCCTCTGCCTCTTTCGCCGCCTCCTCCAACTTCTTGGCTGTTTCTTCCACCAACTCCTCTCTTGTTTCATCTTTATCCCTCACGCTTCCTCTCTGCTTAGTTTCCTCTAGATCCTTCTTCTCTCTTCCAAGCTCTGACTCTAATGATCCGGCGATTATCTTCAATGTTTTCACCTCGGAAGCCGCTTTTTGGATGTTGGATTTGACCTGTTCGAGCTCTCTCTTCGCAGAATCAACCGCTGCATTTATGTCATCATTGCTCTTTTTCTCCATCAACGGACTACAGCTTAAGGCAGTACCCGCGAAAGCTGCTAATTCAGCTCTCAAATCATACTTAAGACAAGAAGCAGTCTCTAGCTTAGCTCTCACATCATCAGCCACACGAGTTTCTTGGTTAAGCCTCTCGATATCATCTTCAACCATCTTCAGTTCCTTTTCCCAATTGTAAATGTCTTGGTCCCGAGCCATCGCTGCACCGAACCTCTTCTCTTCTGCTTCGAGATGAGCCGTGTGCGCTGATTCCAACGGCTCTTTAGTAGCAATCATCTCTATACTCAAACGGTCCATCTTCCTCTCAATCTCTTTAGCTTCCATTACAGCAACTTCAGCTTTCTCCTTAGCTAGATCTTTCTCCCTCAACATCTCTTCATATTCATTACAAACCATTTCAATCTCTTCTCTAACGGACTTAAGCTCACAAGTCGCTGTGTCTTGTCTCGCTTTAGCTACCTCGAGCTGCGCTTTGACGGCAACACTCGCCTCATTAGCTACACCTTGCTCCATCTCCTCTACACGCATCTGTGCGAGCTCCGAGTCCTGTTTCGCTTGTTGCTCTTCCTTTTGCGCTTTCTCTAGCTCGAGCTTTAGCTCCTCCATGAGCTCCTTTGTGGTCTCTAGCTCCTTCAACGCGTCTTGTTTCGCCTCTTCAGCTAACTCAGCTTCTTGCTTATAGTCAGGGATTGCTTCTAGTACCTTCTCAAGCTCTTCATCAACCAGCTTCCTTCTCTGAACGTATCAAAAGACGCAATCTTTTTGAAAAAACTTCCAAAACAAGAAATATCAATTGAACAAAGATTCAAACCTCTATTGACTGAATCTTATGAGCTTTCCAATCTGTAATCCCTCCGAACTTTGAAACTGCTTCCTTCACGGATTCGAAAGGTGAAGCTGTATCAATCAATCCAACGGGAGATTCAAAACGAGGCGATTCCACAGATCTCTGATACACAAAAGCTCGAGGAGAAGAAGGAACTCTTAAACGAGGCGAAATCGGTAATATTCTTGCGTCTTCGATTCCATCGATTCTTGAATCTATTGAAAACGAGTCTTGATGGCTTATCATCACCCTTGGTGCGACATAAACTTTGGGAGATTCAAAGATTGGACTTTCGGGTTGATTCGAATCGAAATGTTGAAACGGGTAATGCGAATCTCCTCCTTCATCGTCTAAGTTGAAGAAGTCGGTGTCGTTGAAAGACGTGGAGATTCTAACCGGAGCTTCGTTGTTGGGTTCTTCGCCAATGGCGTTGAGAAATACATTTAGGTCGTCTAAATCTTTATCATCATCGCTCAACATTGTTAATGAACCTTCGGAAATGCGACTGAAAAATCAGAAAACGGGTCTTGTCTGATTTTGGTCAAACTTAATTCGTGTTCTTGAGATCGACTTGTTCTTGGGATGATGTCTGAGGAATAGACGAAAACGTGGATCGGATTAGTCATGAAAACAAAAAAGGTTTCGGACATGGGAGTTTAAATGTTTCGTACCTTAAATCTGACAATTGCGAGACGAAGATTCGGTGGGACAATATAAATGATACGTAATTTGAGATGTTAATGTTCAGAGTTACATCAATTAAATTCAGGAAGGAAAATAGATAGAAAGAATCAGCAGGCGATGTGACCCGAGCATTGGAAAATAGAAAGAAAGAGGGACGAACGGCGAGAATTAAGGAGCGTGAAACGCACGCGTCTCTCTCTCTCTCTCTCTTTGTTTTTCGTTGTTTATTTTATCGAAAATAAAAATCGTACCATGGGAAGTGTAATTGATTTATGTAATTGAGTGTATTTTAAATATTAAATTTACTGTATTTAATTATGTATTTAAAAAAATATATTAAAATACAGTATTATTGAATTAAGCATTTGTTTGATGTATTTTAATGTACAATAAAAAAACAAATGTTATTCAATTTCCAATTAATTGTATTAAAATTTAGTTACAATAAATTTTAATGTATTTTTTTCTGCAAAACATGAGTAAAACAAATACAACACTGTTGTCTTGTATTACAGAGTATTTATGCTCACAAGTAGCTAGGTTATTACCTGTGTAGAATGAATTAATTATTATATATAAATTTGATTAATTTTAAGATTATATAATATTATATAATCTATTTTATATAAGTTTTATATAATAATATGTAATAATTTATTTAATTGTTATATAAACTAATTAAAAAATTAAATATTATATTGTTGGGCTGTAAAATGTGGTTTTCATCTATAAAGTCTAACTTGTAGACAACGGACGCGGCGGGAATTTAAGAAATATTTAATATGTTGCACCTACCAAAGAAGGCTGCAATGATGATGGTTAGGAGAAGGCAGAGCAGGTCGGCAATCTCCCTTCTGACTACACGCATGGAGAAGTCCGGGAATGGCAATAATGATGGCAAAAGATAGTAGTAGGAAACCGATCCCGGTAGTCAGACGATCCAAACTCGAGTCCGATCCGGAACCAGGTATCTTCTATAAAACGCACTCTTCGCACCAACGAGAGGAGGAGAACGTCCTAGAACGATAACTTCATCTTCTAGCTTTACTTCATAACTAAAATACCCTTAAAAGCTCTTTCAAGATCCATCCGAATTGATAGAGTGCCCCACTCCATAGTTCTTTCGATATCTTCATACACTTCGTCCAGTCACGTGCCTTTCCTAACTAGAGCGTCAGAGCGTAATCGGAAGGGAAACCCCTTTCCAGTTCATCAAGATCCTCTTCCTTTGTTTTCCCGTTACAGGCTGATCCATCCCCCAAGAGTTCAAATCTCCCCCGCAAGATCGACGACCAATCAGATTCCTCCACGTGGCATCTCGAAATTTTCTCCAGAACAGTTGGTACTAGAAGGAGGGGGGTGATATTACCATATATTTTGCATATTTAGCATGCATTTAGATTTAGTTTTCATGCATTCATCTTGCATTATAGGCTAGTTTCTACCATTTGTTGCATTTTAGGTCCTAGATCACTTTGCATTCGCATTTTGCATATTTCTTGCATCTTTTGCATCATTATCAGGTTGTTTGGGACACTCTAGAGTTGTGGAAGTTGTGTGGACGTGCATAGAACCAAGAGGAGGCTTGTGGACACTTTGAGAAATCAGCCATGCATGCAAAGGACCCGAGATCGAGCAGCGGATCGAGCAAGGCAGGCCGATCTAGACAAGATCGACCAGAAGATCGAGTGACTCAAGTCGTTTCAAGGAGAAGGATCGAGACCAAGATCGAGAGAGGCGATCGATCGCGAGTACGGACGTAGATGATGCCATGCAGAACGAGAGCCAGATCGAGACCACGACTCGATCATCCAAAGATTGAGTAGAAGATCGAAGGAAGTGATCGATCCATCCAACTAAATCGACTTGAAGATTGAGCAGAAGAAAGCGATCCAGGAAGAAGATCGAGTGAGCCGATCGATCTCGAGGTCGATCTCTGGGACCTTATCCGGCCAGCTCATTCTTGGAGCGTAGTGAGGGGACCATTAGGGATGTTTGGCTATTTTGGGCAAGAGAGGGCGATCACTTTCACAATTGACACTTTGTCTTATCTTTTCTGTTCTTTCTCTTAGGCGATTCCGCCATTGCAAAAACCTTTTGAGCTTTTCTTGTTTTAAAACTTTGAATCTTGTTTATCATTAAGCATTTTCCTTTAATCGCTTTTGTTAATCATGCTTAGCTTTTTTTCTCTTGCATTTGAATCGGTTTTAACTATGTGTAGCGAGTAGTTTTCTTTGGGTAAAAGGTTGGGGCGATTCAAGGGTTTAAGGGTTTAAGCTTTTGGGATTTTTCTTGTTCTTAACTCACTCTCTTCTAGGATTTGGGGTCTTAAGGCTTAGAGAATCTTGGAAAAGATCTCTATGATTCCAGGGTTTCTCTAACCTTGACCGGATTCAGAGATCCTTGAAAACCAAATACTAGAGACTAATATATCCTCTCCCAAACGCCATGGATGTAGATAGGGTTAGTTAAGCCAATATTTGAGATCTTTGTTTAATGTTCTTTGACCCATCTTTCCACTACACGCCATAGGTTAGGAGGAAGGATCAGAGAAAGGGGTCTTGCCACACGCCATGGATGATCCTAGTTTAAGTTTCTCAAGGCTTAGGGAAAGCTCTTCAAATGAGTAGGTCTAGGTGTTTTCAAACCAAAGCTTGAACCTTTTAAATCTCTTGAACATGAACCTCGACCTTGAGCCCTCTTTTAAGCATTTTAAAACCTCTGTTTATCATTCTCTTGTCATAAAGTTGCATTCTTGATCATTAGAAGTCATTTGTCTTAAGTTGTTAGAATCGACCTGTTTTACCCGTTTTAGCTCTTGATTTTTAGTTATTAGTAGATTTGCGTTTTTGATCCTCTGTTTTCTCCTAGAAGTCGTTAACCCTCTTCCAGGGATTTTAAAATAGTTCTCGTAGTAGTTTGGTCGTTGCATTTAGTTTTCGTCGATTTTTACCATCCATTTACCCGAATCTGCTTAGCTTTGCTTAGTTCTTGCATTCTTAGTGTTCTTTCTTAACCCAGGCAGGATTGATACTCTCTTGCATACTATACTATAACTATAGGTTTCTTGAGCTTTGATATTCTTGCTTGCATAAAAACCTGTTTATCAAATGGCGCCGTTGCCAACTTGGGTTTGTTAGAAAGCATTAAGATTTGGTGCTTAGCAAAGACTAAGCCTTTAAATTTTATTTTGATTACTCATTGCTCTACCTTACTGATTGTGTTTTCAGGTACATGAATTTGCGCTCCAGGGGTGACAACAATCTGCTTAAACCCCTGGACAATATTTACCAACTCGGACACGCAAGATCAAGAAGAGCAAGAGAGCAAGCTCAAGCCTTTGAAGAGATTGTGCAAGCTGGTACTGTAGACTTTGCAAGAATGGCTGAGCAAGAACATCCTGAGGGACCCCACCAGCTCACGGTGCTGTAGGAAGGGGTAATGGAAACCCTAACCAGGCAGCTAGACCACCACGGATCATTGGTGCTGGAGATGCTCCAAATACACATCATAACCGTTTTGGGATCACTCCTCCACCAGTCCAAAATATCAATTTCGAGATAAAGCCTGGATTTGTCTCTATGGTTCAGAACAGCAAATTCCATGGACTGGCTATGGAAGACCCTTTGGAGCACCTTGATAACTTTGAGCAAGTGTGTGGGATGATAAAGATCAATGGGATCTCGAAAGATGCTTTCAAGCTACGGCTCTTCCCATTTTCTCTTGGAGATAAGGCTAGGCACTGGGAGAAGACCCTTCCACAAGGCACCATTACTTCTTGGGCTGAATGTAAGAAGGCGTTCCTCTCAAAGTTTTTCTCGAGCACAAGAACAGCTAGGCTGCGAAGTGAGATCAGCGGATTCACTCAAAGGCAGAACGAGACATTCATTGAAGCCATGGAGCGGTTCAAGGACTATACAATTCAGTGTCCTCACCACGGCTTCAGTGAAGAGACTCTCTTGAGCACAATATACCGAGGAGCATTACCCAAGATCAGAATGTTGCTTGATACGGCAAGCAAGGGTAACTTTCTTGGTCAAGAAGTGGAAGAGGGTATGGAGCTTATAGAGAACTTGGCTTTGAGTGATGGGAATTACACTGAGGACTACGACCGTGCACTTAGAGGTTCTGAGCTGGAGTCACACAAAAAAGACTTCAAATCGCTCCATGAGAAGATAGATAAGCTCGTTCTTGCAAATCAGAAGCAAGTACTTTTCGTGGGAGAAGCCGAAGATGTCTTAGAGGAGTTAGAGCTGAGCCAAGAAGAAGCTAATTGGGTTGCTGGTCAGAACTACAACAAGCCTCAGGGCTATTCACAAGGATACCAAGCCAACAACAATCTCTCATACAGGAGCACCAACGTTGAGAATCCAAAGGATCAGGTGTACCCCCCTCAACAAGCAAAGCCTATTGTACCTTACAACAAGGGGTTTCAACAAAACAGTGGTTACCAAGGTCCGAGGCAAGGCAATTTCCAGCAGAAACAGCAAGGCAACAAAGGCTACACTCCTATGTTTCCTCCTGGTTTCGTTCCACAGCAACAACAAATGCAACCCCCACCTCAAGATCCGGTTCAAGCAATGTTTCAACAGTTGCTTCAAGGTCAAACTTCTACAAATCAGAAGTTTGTTGAGATGAACAACCGGCTAGACTCTTCTCTCACTGACGTCTCTACACAGATCACCAATCTAAACAACAAGATCAAACATTTAGAGAAAGGCAAAGCTAGTACAAGCGTTCAAAGCAGCTTACCGAGCAAGTGTGAGCAAAATCCCAAGGAGTATGCAAACGCTATT